AGCACTTGGCTGAGCTTGAATGGGTCAGGATTGTTGTTAATCCTGTCGACGGGGTGGTTGTTCTCATGGATTCCAAACAGTCCCAAGACGTCATGAGACGAAACGTTCAGCTTGAGAAAGAATTTGAGTGTCTGGTGGTAATTTATGCCTGGAAGTTCAAGTCTGAGGAGCGATCAAAGTCGACTCCAAACTGGACGAAGGCGGTTGCATCAGTCATGGAGAGTCATAAAGACGAAGCTGAGACAGCATCGGGGACGGATCCATCGGTCGACGAATCGACGGACCTCACCTGGTATGAATGGGAGGAGTCTGCTGAGATAGTTTCTGGAAAAGTGCCACTCGCAATGCCTGCGATAGGCGAGGACGGTGAAGCCAAGAAGTACCCATCGATGCCGTGCGTGACTTCTGAGCGAATACAGCACAGAGAGAAGGCTGTGAAAGTTGTACGATTCTTCGACGCTTTAGTATCCAGGCCGGTAGGCCGGAAAGAGATGTTGACCAACCCTGATGCATTGGCATCAATGAAGAAAGAGTGGTCGGGATTAATCGACCAGGGGGTCTTCGATCTTGGCGCGGTGCGTGAATATGACGCTGTAGCCAGAGAAGCAAAAGCGAAGGGGGAGGAAATACACATGGCTCGCGCACATGGCATTTGCGTTGAAAAGCACTCACAGTTGCCTGTTGGTGATCCTAAGAGGAAGTTCAAGGGTAGAGGCGTGTTGCTGGGGAACCAAGTGAAGAACCAAAGCTTTGAGGCTGCGATGTTTCAAGATTTGGGGAACTCCCCTGCTTCATTTGAAGCCTCGCGTTGGGCGGATTTTCTGGGTTGTCATGATGGCTGGGATGTGCAGATGGCCGACGCTGTTCAGGCGTATATACAGGCCACCTTGAGAGGCACGCCGTGTTGGATTGAATTGCCACCGGAGGCCGTGCCAAGTGAATGCAAATGGGATAAGTACAGAAGACCAGTCGTCCCGTTGAGGAAGGCGCTGTACGGACACCCAGATGCGGGAACATTTTGGGAGCAGCACTGCGATGAGTCGGTGCGTGCCGTTGGTTTTGAGCCCATCGGCGAAGAATGGCCTTCAGTGTACATTCACGAAAAGCTCCAGCTTGTTCTGGTTGTGTATGTCGACGACTTCAAAATGGCAGGGCCGCAGAAGAACCTTGCCCAAGGGTGGAGCATGTTGCGTACACGTTTGAAGATTGAGCCCGAGACTGGACTTGACATGTACCTTGGTTGCAATCAAAGCAAGGGAAACGTCACTCTCGGGAACGGACACCGAGTAACAACGGTGACCTATGACATGGAACAGTTCCTACGTTCCTGTGTCGACCGCTATCTTGAAGTGGCGGGCGACGTGAAGTTGAATAAGGTTGTCACCCCTGAGTTGCATGAAGAAACAAAGAATCACGTCTCACGGAAGCCTGCCAGAGAGGGGCCGTCAGTCGTGTGCAATTGGTGTAACAATCTTGTGCCCACCGACGGTTCTGCCACAGTGCCGGACCAACGGGGAGGGACTCCTGAGTTGGCCATGAAGGAGCCCGTGCGTGGACACCTTGCTCCGCATGCCGCTAGCGTACTGATGAAGTTGCTGTACGGTGCGCGGATTGCTCGCTTCGATTTGTTGCGGCAAGTGAATCGCCTAGCACGGAACGTGCATAGGTGGACTGACTCCGATGATCGGGGTTTGCATCACTTGATGTGCTATGTGCATCATACCAAACATTGGCGCATGGTCGGTTGGGTTGGAGACCCTATGGACGATGTGCACTTGGCCTTGTATGCGGACGCTGACTTTGCGGGATGCATTGACTCGCTGCGTTCCACCTCCGGTGGACACTTGAATATACAAGGGCCTAATACCCGGTTTCCGTTGTCTGGCAGCTCTAAAAGACAGGGTTGTGTGAGTCACTCCACTCCCGAGGCCGAGATTGTTGCGGCCGATGTTGCCATGAGATCGATGGGTATGCCCGCTCTCAAGCTGGTAGAGCGGATTCTCAAGAAGTCACCGAACTTTGTGTTCTATGACGATAACAAGGCTATGATCGGTGTCGTGCGATCGGGGAGAAACCCCACGATGCGCCACCTTGAGAGAAGCCATGGTGTTAGCATTTCGTGGATGCATGAGATGTTCACACGTGATTACATGTACTTGGCGTATGAGGTCACCGACAGGATGGCGGCCGATATTTACACCAAGGCGTTCAATGATGGGCGCAAATGGAAACATGCATGTTTGCAGATTGGTCTACTTGACCCGAGCTTGCTGTCTGACCCGGATACCCTCAAGGCGCTCACACCCACGTGTGATCCCATAAAGGGGACCATGCAGACCGCTTCGGGGACAGTTGACGGAGTTCCAACATTTCCGTACACACACATACCGATCATGCCCCCGGACCTATGGTGGTCTGGATTAACATCTAAAGAGGGATTGCATGAGCATGAAGGACATGATCCGGTTGTTGTTGCCAAGGGACCCAGATTGATGCGTGTGAAACCTCCACTCGCGGTTATGACACCGTTTGGGAGCAAGTGGCTTCGTTCCACTTGGTTTCTGAAGAATGGGTCATGGCTCAAAGTTGAGGATAGAGTTGACCCGGGGCTACAATGTGTGCGAATTGATGGTTGGGTTGAACGCGCAGTTTGGCAGTTTCATCCCGTACCGGTCGCTGCACCGGCGCGGGAACGGTCTCCACGACCACGACCAATTCACGTCGGGTCCGGGGATGTTGACATGCAGTCCGTGCTGGCCGCATTTGTTGAAGAACTGTCGAACGAGCGCATAGAGTTGAAGTGTGTTAACGACCTTGCTTTGGAAACGTTGCTCCGATTGAAATTGCTCATGCGTTGTCTGCATATCAATCACGAGCAGCTTGTCCCTGGTCGTTGTTTTGTTCCGTATCGCATTGCGGTGAAGCACAAGCCACAGTTAGCGCCGGGTATTGAACTCGCGATGGTCAAACACGACGGTGGTGTGCTTCGCGCTCCTGTTCATGTCTCGCTTCCTGGTATGAGAACTCGCACAGTCGTCACTCTTTACAGTGTTGACTTGGCTCGGCCCATCGTGCTGATGGCATGTTCCGAACCACGTAACTGGTTCACTGCTCTTGCCCGCCATGACGGGCCGCAGGTTGTCACCATAACTCTGGTTGATGACTTACTGAGCGAGTACGGGGGGAGAATCGCCAGACATGTGCTTACCAAACCTTCCGATTTGTTGTTCTTCGCCGGGCCTTGCACGGGGGGATCATCATGGGCACGCCTCAACAAGACTCGCGGCATTGACACCGCAGAGAAAATCGAGGCCAAACAAAGAGAATTTTGGAGATTATTTGAACGGTTCGTTGAAATTAAACGGCATGCCATGACAAAACGAGCTGCGATTTTGTTTGAGTTGCCTGGAAGTTGTGATTATTGGAAAGATGAGAGACTGCATGAGGTCGTGCATGATGGGACTAGTCACGAGTTTGATGGGTGTCGCTATGGCTTGAAACAAAGATATGCAAGAAACCCATGCCAATCAAGAAACCATGGAGAGTTGTCTCATGGAACTTTGAACTTGGTGGCTCGTTGTCTAAGAAATGCAATGGAAACCATGAGCATGGACCTTGTGCTGGTCGTGAAACCAAAGAAACCCAGTTGTACACGTCTATAATTGTGGGTGTGATCCTTCGCCGTTTTCGTGCTCGAGCAAGGTGCCTCAAACCGGCACCGTTGAAACTCGCTCTTGCTTGCATTACGCGAAGGAGATCGCGGAAGCACCAAGCTACTGCGAGCGAAATCTGCACCACCCCAACTGCACAACCGAGGTGCTGGGTCAGTCCCGAACCTCTGGTGCATACGGGGAGCTGGGTCAGTCCCGAACCCCAAGCTTCAAGGAGGAGCTGGACGAGTTCGTCACCTCAATCTGAAGCTGGGATCGCATTGGGACAATTCCGTGGCTTCATTTGCAGCTGCTTATTTTGGATTTTCCTGGGTCTGGAGAATATCATCAAGATGACTGCCAATCCGAATGTCGTCAATGCAAATGAGTTCTTCTGCGTGCCTGTTGGGAAATCTAGGCAAGCAGCAATCTTCTTGGGAAATTTGGTGAAGAACGCCATCGAGGAGGCAAGAGGATACCCAAGAGGATGGAGATGAGCAGCGACCTGGGTATGTGCGTGAAGTGGATCGAGGACATAGGCGTCCCCGCTATTTATGCATACTCTGCGTACTACTCTGCCAAGGGCCGCGGGATGATGAAAGGTGAAGGGCAGTCTATGAGGGTTGCCTTAGAGTTCATCAGCAAAGTTTTCGGACAGCTTTCTGCCGACGAATGTATGCTTGGATGGAGGGAATTCTGCAGCAAGGGAAAGAAGATCGTGTCGGCGCTGAACCAACTTTGCGGTGAGGCAACGATGCTGGCGAAGAACCCCGAGTTGCTCAACGTAACCAAGTACTGCATGGAAGGGGCGGATATGTTGAGATCAATCGCGAACATCTGGGATCTCGCATTAGGCGTGGCCGAGGACAACGATGAACGGTCGTTCAAAGCAGCATTCCACCAGAACACCCCGGTTGGGGAGGTGTACAAAGAATTCATCAGCGACGAGTCATCTAGGGCATCGTCATCGAGAAGGTGGAGGAGCTCCGAGGAGTTCCAGACGACTGCAGAGTTTGAGAGGCACGATCGGAGAATTGCAAGGTACAGAGATCGAAACTGGGGGAAAGTGTTCACGTTGAGCGTGATCAAGGCTCCCAAGATCGACTCCTACGGTCGTGGTTCCAAGGACGACTACCAGAAGAATTGGGACCTTGGGTTGGTCTACCAGAATGAGCTGCAGGCATCGATGAAGAACCTCGCATATGCACTGAGGAGGGATGAGAATGCCAGCCAGAACAACCTATTGCGCTGGATGATCTGTGGGTCAACCCCCAGTGACATCTCTGATGCGTGCATCGGGGCGGTCAATTCGCTCATGTGCGTATCGTTCATCATGAGGAGATTGCAGCCATTGCTCGGTGAGAAGGACTCCAAAGATCAGTCGTATACAGCTTATTTCCGTCCAGACAAAAGGGAGCTGAACGATCTCTACCGGGAGATTGAGTACGCCAGGGATTTCCTATGGTGCATCGATATGATCTATGAGTCGAAGCTGCCTGCGATGAACATCAACTCCATCAGTTTGGCACCGCACGCGGCTGACAGGGCCGCTGAGAACCAAGATCGGCGCAAGTGGGTAAGCTGGATGAAGGAGATCGAGAAGAAGGCCGAGAAGGACGTCATGATCGAATTCTTCCAGAATAAATACTGCACGATTCATGAAATCGAGAGGGAACTGGAGAAGTACCCCGAGGATTTCGTGGTTGGGGAAGAGCCGACATGGTGGGTGATGGGCTCATCGAAGACGGAGCCGCCACGGAAGACGGAGCGACAGCAGAAGTCGGCATCAAGCTCCGGGCAAAGGAGTCAAACCGCTGGTGGGTCAGTCCCCCAGCCGGAGCTCCAAGTGGGGGGTCGCAAGCCAGCGATGCTGTCAAGATCGACAACGAGATCATCGACTCCATTTTCCGAATGAACTCTGGCGGTGACGACGACAGATGGGTAATTATCAACCCAACTGCTGGACACGATACCTACACTTCATTCGAAGGGGGTACCACTTTGGGCGGAGCGACTGTCAATGTGAAATTCAACATAGACAACAATACGGGGTACCCAATCATACAAACTGTATTTGGGCCGTGTCTTGCAGAAGGCAAGAACGCAACATATTGGGAGTGTATGCTGAGATGCCTGACCTCTTCGCTATTGCACTTCGAGGAGAAGACCAGCGCGGAGAAGATCATTCTTTCCTATGTTGGGAAGGGAAATGCGGCATGGCTACAGCTGTATGCTTTCTTGTGTGCCCAAACAGGATGCTTGATTACTGGACGCCTTCCGGGCGCCAAAGCCATCAACGCGTTGATTCAGGCGGAGTAGAACCCGGACAACGCACCTGGACAGTTGAACCGGATTATCAATAGGCAGAAGAGGAGCCCCATTGGCGAGGCGACGATTCGCGACATGATGATCCACAAGAAGAGCTTCTTGGTCCTGGATTGGCCCCTGAGGGCCGTCAACTCGAAAGGGAGCACGAAGACCTTCCAGATGATGGTCAACGAACAGGGATGGACAAACATCGAGGAGAGATCATACTATGGGTCGAGTGAGCAAGTCTCCTCACCCAACGACACGTTGAATATCATCTCCCGATTGCAGAAGCTGGATAAGCTCATCGCTGAACGGCGGAGGCGAGACATGGATGACTCACCAATGTCGGTGCACATCTGGATGTCGCTATATGATTGGGTGTGCATGAGAGGATGCGGATGGCAGGTGACCGCCAACCCCATCATCGACTCCCTGCAGAAGGCGATATCTGACCTCGTCAACACATGCAAGGGCCTGGTCGTGGTGTGCGTGAATCGCGATGTTGCTTTCCATGGTGGAAGAGGGGACTTGGGGACGATCGCCAACAAGGTTAGCGAGATCTGCAAGGCGGCAGGCGCGCTGGTGACCGAGAACGATCGCCTGTGGCGCGTGGTCCATGCGCTCACAGGAAAGAACTACAAGATCCCTGGGAGCTCGAACTTGCAACACTTCCTCCTGAAGCGACTGCTGATTGAGAAATCCATCGATGCGGTCGCACCAAGCAACGCGTTTGTGTGTGAGCTGGAGGGGACGTGCATAAACGAGCCCGACCTTCGATTCAACATCCCGAAGAACATGGAGGAATCGAAGGTGAAATTCGAGTACAAGCCGACCTTCACTGCACAGTCGAAGAGGAAACAAGAGCAGCAAGATGAAGGACACGGCGAGCAGGATGCTTTTGGGAAAGCCGATGTCGGTGATCAACGTCTTCGATGGTATACGGTCACGGAGCTCAGCAAGTTTATCTGCGAACTTTGCGCTAAAGAGATGCAGATGAGCAAGTCGAAGGTGCTCGGACCGAATTCGAAGTACAATCCCTCTTCTTGCGTGAACTGTTGCGCGAACTGGAACGCGGACACGAACGGTATTGCAATGTCTATCGAGGGGAAGAAAATGTACACGCGCCTCTTCGCGGAATGCGTGGTGGCAATCCCCGACCTTCAAAACCTCATGGTGGACGTCAACAATATCCAGGCCATGATCACGATCATACGGGAGCTCGTGTATTCAAGGCTGAAGAAGGAGCTTTCTCACGTGGGATTCGTGAGCATGACTGTGGATCAAGCAGCGCAGTTCTACAACAACGGTCACGGGAAGCAATTGTGCGCATCCAGGGATGTGATCGTGTGCAAGAATTCCGAGGGAGTCGAGGAGAGGATGTCCATCTTCGTGATAGGCAAGGATCTTGGCAATGTGGCATATTCGTCCTGGATCAAGAGTGTGCTCGACCAAGGAACGATGTATGAACTCCTGGGACAAACCACGAACGAGGAATCCTTGGGAGACGTCGTCGAGATGGTGTTGGGATTCTTTGAGGTGATGTCGTACTTCCAGCACGAACTGCCACTGTGGAAGGATGCATGGAAGATCAAGAGGGAGTTCGAGCAGTCAATAGTGCGACACCTCGCTGGGAACGTGACCCACACGACGGGCCAGAACAGAAAGCGGAACAGACCGTCCGCACAGCTCGGCGTGCCCACGAAGGAGGTGCTTGACATCATGAACAAGGTCAAGCCCAGACATCCACGATCCCTGATCACCGAGCCCTCTGCACAAGGTTCCAAGAGAAAGGCCACGGAGGGCGAAGATGAGGGTCTTGGTCAAGCACCAGACCCGAGTCGAAGTTCTCAAACCAATGCTGAGAAGGAAGACAAGAAGCAGCGAGTGATCGACGGGCGGAGAGCGGCACTAGGATTCCTGGAGTCAATGGAGAAGTGCATGGGAGATATGGGGATCTGTAAGAAGTGCGCGAACCTGGCCCACGACGGCGACTGCAAGGACATTGAGGAGGCTGCTGGAAATGAGAAGGCGATGAAGGTGCTCCGTGAGCTACTCAGCAGTGACCCTGTTTCATCTGATGAAGACATGGGGGATACGGAGGAACCGTCCTCATCAACGTCCAAGGAAAGAAAGAAAGGGGGACAAGCAGGGAAAGAAACAATTGAGATGTACAGCTACACTATTAATTTGGTGGAGATGGCTGACACGGCTGAGGGAGGAGAGCTACAATGTGGTGGCGTCGACCTCACCTACAACCCGTGCGGGGACAACAGGACATTCAAGAAGACGCTTGAGATGGGATGCGACACCATCCCGTGCTACATCCCGAAGTATGGCGATGTGAGTGATGTGCACTTGCCATGGGCGTATGCGTCCATCGTTGACCCCAAATACTTTCCCAAAGGTGCAATCCTTGAGCAAGTGGACGTGATGCAACTTGGCAAGAGTGTCAACTTCTGCATTGCTCCTTTCGACGGTGCTCCACTATGCAGGATTGGTGATGATCGCTCGGATTTACTACAAGGGACCAAGCAAACCAGCTATCTCACGACCTATGCAGAGTCCTTCGACACAAGATCGGCAATTGCCGAGGAAGTGCTTTCAGGTGCGACGAGGGTGGATGGGTCGACATTGATGCTGTCATTGACGACCGGAACAACGACATATTCCCACCATACACCACGAGAGCGAAACGATACATGGGCATCATGGAGGTGATCAAGTGGCAGGAATCCGGAAGCAGAAAATCGAGATTCCAGGTTTTGGCAGCAAGGTTTCCGAGCATCATGAACCCGAACGACACGAGGGCAGCCAGGGAGGAAATGACCGAAGCTGGCGTGGATCGGGACGACATCGACAGGATGTTCAACAGATGCGATGGATGGTACAGACCTTGGTGCATCCGAGTCACAACCGGTCACAGTGATTTTGGATTCATGAGCTCATCCGCACTGGCGAATAGGTATTCCGCAAGAATGGGTGATTCTCTCGGAGGAGCATTCCATGTGACGTATGTGGAAAACCTGCCAAGCATCGTACGCTGTGGGTTAGTCCCCGGCGGAATCGATGGCGGCAACAGGCTAGCACTGCACTTCGGGGCGTTTGCTCCATGGGATGAGATGAACGTGGCGACGAAGACAACGCTACGGAACGTGAGGAGAGGGGATCCGATTGCGATCATCTATATTCCCAGTGCAACCCTCGCGCGGTATGGGGCTGGAGTCGCGGCTAATGGGACTTTCATGGTCTTTGACGTGATCCCGTTCTATGAGGTCAAGTCCATTTGGATTGGCAAAAGCAACGGAGGGAAGCGCCTGGAGTACGCTGACATCAAGAGGGCGTACTCGAAGTGTGTGGAGAACGAGATCTGCCCTGGCTTTGTCAACTCTTCCCAAGAGTCGGCTGCGATGTTCCTCCAGAACGTCGCAAAGATCAGCGAGAGGATGCCGGAGACTGAGACAGGTGCCGATAATCTGCACTACATCGTTGACATGGTTAATCGTGCCTGCGAACTCTATCGAATCAACAAGATGGAAGAGTTCAATGCACAGGTCAACGAGGTCCGGGACGAAATCAGCAAAGTCGTCATCCTGAATGACGAGACATGGGAAGGACTGAGGTGCCGGATATGTCCATCATGTGCGACCGCGATCCCCACCTGCTTCTGCTTATGCCTGGAGTGCGAGGCACAACTGATCTCCATCGGAAGATACTACATTCACATCAAATCCGATGACGAGGAGGACAACCAAAACCCCAACGTCTCTGGAGATGCCAGGCGTGCACAGGAAGAAGCTAACCACGATGCGGCAGCACAGGAGGATGAAGACGAAGCGGAGGAAGTTCCGGGAGAAGATGACGACATGGACACGCAAGGATATACATCCGGCTATGCGTCAGAAGAAGAAGACAGCGGTTGGCATTACCGCGACACCGATCTGGCGTCACGGGACATTATAAGTTCCCAACGGATGGCGATCTGCCTTGACGAGCCGCGTGAGGCTCAGTACATGGCAGGATTTATCGCACTCCAGATGTCCAAGATGTGGGGGATGTTCGAGGGTGGTGAGGAGAGAACGATGAATGCCAAGCTCGAGGGGAGAGAGGGCTGCCCTTACCACAATGATTTCAAGAGGTACCCCAACATCACTGAGCACGATCAGGAAGGTATACTATTGCCATCAACAACAACGAAGATTTCTCAGTCGGAGAATGTTCGGACAAGAGCCTTCCGATCGGTTGAGGAGCGTGACGAATATATTCGTATGATGGTGTGCAAATGCGAGGGACTTTACACATTCTACAAGCTGTGGATTGCAGCAAGAATCCTCGATGTCACCAAGGAAGAAATGAAGCTCCTGGTCAAGGACCGAGTGCACCCGGTGGGTGATATTATTTTCAGATGTTTTGCACTAGCTTTCAACTGTAAGTATATATCATTCGTGAGGGATGGCCTGAACCTTGGCAAACATGGTTACACGGTCAACGTGAGCGCCATCATCTCGGCCGTCGACCCGAACAAATGCGACACACCCCTGCTGGATTGGTGCCTTCGGAAAGGGCACTGGTTGCCAGAGGACTACAACAAGAAGTGTGTCCGGGCACGAGAAGCCCAGAAGAACTTGGACGAGGAGTTCCGTCGACGCACTCACAGACTGTCCATTGGGGACCGGTATGCGTAGTGAAGATGCTGATTGCGGCACGATGTGGGTTAGTCCCCATCTGTTGCTTGCGTCTCATCAACACCATTGCGATGGAACGACTTTACATTATGATATGATTTCATATATCCAAGTTGAATGGATGTGTACATGGTTACATATTCCGATGACTATGACGCTCTGGATATTCATGGATGGAACTATTACCTTATAGATGATATCTTTTCATTATTTATGCATTGTCCATGGTATCTGGAATGGCTATGATTTGCATTGATTACTCACCGATGTTTCTTTGCCGGAAATATGCAGACCGATTACAAGCGGGCGCCTCTGGTGGACTTTTGCGGCCAACCCATTTATGGATGACAGCTGCGCGATGCGCAAATGCGGCAGCTGGAATGTTCACTGGCGGTCAAGTGACGTGACAATAGTGTATTATATACACCTGCATATGGATGTGTGCTTCGATTGGCGGATGAATGTTTCACTTTTCGTACAATCGAACCCGGCATGTTTCACAGCGAATGAACGGTGTAGTGATAGCAAGTAAAAGAATGCACGACACGATTTCGTAGTTGAAGCCGTGGCCAGTGGAACGTTTTGTGGTGTTTGGACCGCATGATGAACAATGCGACCCAAATGGGGGATGTTAAAACCCTCTAGGCCCCGTGCCGAAATTGGGTAGCTGTTCTGAGGTCCTTGTTGGTGTTGCTTCCCAAGTTCCATTGATCGCCATTTGGCTCAAGACACAATTGAGGTTCAAGATCTGATGTGTGACTGCATACATACGTGATCGGCATTGAGAGCGAAAACACTTCGCTTGCGCTGCATTTGTCAGGACTACTGTTG